AATACTCATGCTAGTCGAAATCTGTTCACCTAAGCCTAGTTTCTTGAACAGTTGATAGAGCATAACTTTGATATTAGCGCCTAGGTCCTCCATGGACCTCTCTACATGCAATTTACCAATAGAACAAGGGATAGTGAAACTCCATGGGTCCTTTTGTTTGAGTGGAAGCTTGTTCTGTTGAATGGATGAACACTCCTTGCTGAGATCCACAGTGAAAAATTCGCCCAGCTTCTTCTTTTTGGAGAAGAGTTCTATTAGGAACTTCGCATATTTGGGCACATGAGATGGTGCCTCCAGGAATGACACTTGCAGATGCAGCTTCTTCATCATGTCCATGAAGTTCCCGAACTCAACCTCCAACCGATCCTTGTGTATCCTTGTAGGAAAGAGGAGTTGAGGTTTATATTCAACCACTACTAGTTGACTGGTGAATAACAAACCTCTAGCTCCTTTTCCTGCACCGGGTCTTCTTCTGGCTTTGGGGGTGGTCTTCTCCACCTCCTTTGCACGCCTTGGTGGCTCTTTGTCAGCCACCTTTACATTTCTCAATATGATGACATTCAAGTCATCTTTATAATTTCTGGGGTTGGGCACAGACTGCCTTGGAAGTGTACCAGCAGGTCGAGAGGCGATAGCGTTCGATTTTAGTGTCCATATCCTGCAGAAGCGCTTGCTGGTGCTTTTGACCAGCCTCAAGATCATAGAATTTCCTAATGGCCACCTCCATGAACTAAACTATCTTGTTTAACTACTCCTGGGCTCTGGTGGTCACGAAGCTATTCACCAGGTCCTCTAGCTTAGACACCTTGTTCGGCTGTGGTGGAGCAGGTGCTCCTGTTCCCGGGGGTTGATACTGCTGGTGTTGCTGCTGGGACTGGGGAAATTGGTCTGATGCAGCAGGAAGTTAAATCTTTAAATGTCCATCACACATGTTACATTGTCCCTAAACCTTTAGGTATAAGGAACATAGACAAAAAAATGGGTTTTCAAAGCAAAGCTCAACCCAGATTGTACAATTGAATGACATACAGCCAGACTAGTAACCAAAGGCTTTATTCAGATCTATGTTGTGGATTTTCTAGATACATGCTCTCATGTTGTTAAGCTCAATTCTGTTAAGACTCTCCTTGTTTTAGCGGCATCCAAGAACTGGTACTTATTCCAATTATATATCAATAATTTCTTCCTCAATGGTGATCTCAAAGAAGAAATTTACATGGATCTCCCACCTGCCATCTCCCAACCAAGCATGGTTTGCATAGTTAGGAAGTCTCTCTATGATTTGAGACAAACTTCTTGCTAGTGGTTTGCCAAACTCACCACTGATCTTCTAAGCTTCAATTACACACAATCTCACAGTGACTACTTTATGTTTATGCATCATAGCATATGTTGATGATATCAAATTGGCTTGTGATGATCTATAGGATATTTAGGCTCTTAAGCACTTTCTGAGTACTCGATTCGAAATATGTGATCTTGGCACCCTCCTTAGAGATTGCCAGACCAAAGGGGGATTACACATATGCCAAAGTATTATACACATCTCTTGGAAGACAATGGTTATGCAAGATTCCAAACTCAATGTCACTCTTATTAACATGAAGACTTGTGTTTCTGCTGATGATGGGCCTCTCCTTGATAATGGAACACTCTTTCGAAAGATAGCTAGACTATTCACTACATAACCATTACACGTCCCTACATCACCTTTTCAATTTATCAAATTATGTCAATACCATGATTCACCTATTGTCACTCATCTTGAACTGCCATTCGAAGTCCTGAAGCATCTAAATAACTCACCATGTCATTGTTTTTTCTATCCATCTTTCTATGTTTTAAGCTTAGAGGATATAATGATTCGAATTGGGCTTCACCCTTCGTGTCCATATACAAGGTGATCCACCACTGGCTATTGCATCTCATTTAGAAAGTCCCTTATCATATACAAAGTCTAAGAAATAATGAACAATACCTCATTCCACCTCGGTAGCTGAGTATATGTCTCTTGCTCAGCTTACATGTGAAATATAAGACTTCTACATGAACTTAATGTTGAACATCCTCAACCTGCGGAGATCTTCTATGACAATTGATCGTCGATTTATATCATTCATTAAAGAAAGAAACACATTAAATCGGTTGTCACATGGTTCATCAATTTCTCCCGTCCAAGGTTAAATCATTCATCCATTTTGATCCATAGAATCAAAAACCATACTTGTTTACAAAGGGGTTGAGAAGATTCAGACTTCAATACGTGCAGTCCCAGTTGAACATACAAAACTTGTATGCTCAGCTTGAGGCGACGTTACAGAGAAGATGAAGCTTATGATGGATTGGGTAATCGAACCATGCTCAGATAGTCGAACCATCTTAAACTAATGATGGACTGGAAAATCGAGTCATGCTTAGATAGTCGAACAATGCTCTGTGCTATTGGGCTCATTGACACAAAGCCACTTGTCTTTGCAACAAGTGAAAGGTAGAGACTAAAGCGGCGTCCAACTTAGCACCAAGCCCATTTCACGTTTTATGTACAGTGTCACGTGTCGTGTTGTTCTTCGTTAGTTTTCTCCATCCTATTTCTTAACGATGCAAACAGTAGATTAGTGTTTAGTTATACAGACTAGGGGTCGTTTGCTTCAAGGATTTGAATGTGGGATTTGGTTCTTAAATCCAACACATGAAAGATTTGTCCAAAAGCCATTGTTTGTTGAGCAAAAATGGAGGGTACCAAATACGCGGACCCCACGGATTTGTAAATCCCACCTATTTACTTGGGATTTGAAGAAGGGTACAAATCCTTCATGAAAAATGACTTATCTATCCCTTTATAATTTGTTTATTTCAACTTTACCAGTCATTAGTTATTCTTTGCACTACTACGATTGCCTCTTATAGCTACAAACTTAGCCATGAAAAGTAATATTGTAGCTAATAACATGCTAATGACTACATAATCTATGCCATAAGCTAATAACATAATAATGACTACATAATTTATTCATCATGGCTATTTGTGATGGTCTATGTCACACGTTTATTTTGCCATAAGCGTATGATTATTTTGATTCAAATTTTGATTTGGATGGCAAATAATACCATTTAGCTACAAACTACATTTGTTGTTAAAATAGTAATTCTAACAAACAAATTTAGCCAAGAATTGTAAGATTACAACTATATATTGTGATTACCTACACATTTTAATATCTTGTGGCTACTAATTTTACGAGCTTGCTATAAAATGTCAATTTAAAAGCACAAATTAACAATAATTAGAAACACAAGTAAAGTTATATAAATCTAACATAAAGAAGGGTAATAAGGAAATATACATCTTAAAGATATAAATCCATAACCCAAAAGTCCATGATCAAATCAACTAAGCAAACAATGAACTCTTCCAAATCCATAATGCAACAAATCTCTAACAAATCCTTGGATTTTTAAATTAGAAAACCTTCATTTTCAAATCCATGAAACAAACGACCCCTAAGTTAGAATGACCATTTATATTATATTCCTTTTTGGCCAAGAGCCCCTTTCCGTGTTTCTCTCCATTTTTGTCACTCTATCAAACTCCTTATTCTTCTCCGCCGTCGCAGTCACTGTCAAAGGCAACTTAATAATTCTGCTTTTACCATCATTAATTTCAAAGGATATAAAATAGTTTACCGTCTGTATTATCATAAATCAGTTCTAGACCAAAGCCCTTGCCTCCGCATGATTGGTATTCAGAACACAGTACAATAGCATGCTTCAGTTTGTAATGCAACAGGTTTCTTTGAGCGTTTTTACAGTGGGAACCAAGTTTTGGTTATCTTCGTCAACAGATCACAAAGTTCCGCTCAAGGGCTTCTATCCTGATGAAGATGGTGACTTCTAGGAGTAAGTTAGATATATCATAAGGTGGTTCAATAGGAAAACAAGTCGAAAAGTCCAACATGACATTTGCACTCAAACTCTCAAAGCTTGTATGTTACTTGGCAAGAACAATGGGACTGGGACTGTGTCTGATACAATTAGCTCGGTTCGGGACAAGTAGGATCTTTCCAAGTTCCGATCACCAAATAGAAAGACAGGAATGCAAGTCCATTAAGTTGGCTAGAACCAATTATAGGTTCCAATCGAAGGGAAACCAAATCCATACGTATCAGGGCTGGGTGGGCAACTCCCTCAAATCTCAAAGGCTACCAACACTTGCTTGGAGAGAGATGCCAATACTTGCTTGGAAATGGAGTGATAAGAGTTATTCGGAGAGTTGTAGGATTCCTCGTGGGAAGTTTGTGCAAAAGCCGCCTTCTACAAATTCTCGCCTTAGGACCTAACTTAACAAGAAAATCCCTAATCCAAGAACGTTGCCCGAGTTCTTGAGTTCTCAATTACCTCATAGTGCTTTTTACGGTCGACCTTCAGTATCAAAAGGATAAAAAATCAAAATTGCAAAGTGAGTGACAGTACTAACCCATAATTCCAACAGAATCAAACATGCAAATCAAGTGCAGCATAATGCAAATGAACAAAAAGATACCAACCCTCAAGAACTCAACCGAGACTGACACCAGAAACAAAAAATGCCCAAAGGAACTATCAGACTGCAACTACTCTAAAAGCTAGAACTTGGAAAGGGCTCATCTCATCTTCTAAGCTAAATTACAAATCACTAACATGAAACCAAGAACAAAACTAAAAATTAATATACAATGAAAAGGTAAAAAGGAGAAAGGAAAAGAATGCTACTAATTCCTAATCCTCTCTTAATCTGGACCGATCTACCGCAGGGCATCGTGCACATCATAATATTACTCTCGACCTTCCTTTCTCATTTCCCCCCTTTCTTTTCTTTTTGTCACGGGTCCTCATCTAGATCATCAAATCAACTAACATCTCACCAGCTTCGCTACAATGTTATACACCTGAGAGAGCTGTGGACAGTTACAAATGGGGTGGATGGGTAGGACGGAAGGTAGCTACTCCATTCTACAAGTAAATCACCTTCTCCGTGCTGCAGCTTTGCTGTCATTATTTATCCTATCCGCGTACATCGGCAACCGAATTATCTCATTGATCTCACCCAACAAGACAGCCTCCGTTATGTTGTCTGTTATGCTTCGCATCACCTGTTTTCATCGGCGTGAGTAAGCAAGCAGGTATTATTAATGTTGTGGGATGTGTCCACTAAATTTGCTTTGCCTAGAACAAAAGAATATAATAATGGCCAACACACACCCATACATACACTCAGTCATTCAATTTGAGAGAGATAGACTATAAACTATACCTTCCTGTATGTGTTGATCTCATTAGGCGCGTTTTTATCTGTCCGAACACGCATGCAGTCCCAGACCTCTTTGTGTTTATCCCAGGAACACTCAATGATCTTCCCCGAATAAGAAGAAGGATCAGCATCATCTGGCATGTGTTGAAGAATTAGGGTTGGACAAAACAGAAAACCAAGATAATTGAAGCACAAACAATGAGTTCAGAGTAGTAGCCTCAAGACAAACTAAAGAAGGGCACACTCTAATCTAAGGGAAGAATGACCCAGAACTAAAATTTGACAAACAAGATTGTTCAGTTTGTAGTAGATACTCGTAACACTCACCTTTGAATTCAACTCTTTGCCCATCCATTGGTTTCTTTTTCCCACGTTCAAACAGACACAGTGACTGTCGACCATCAGCATTAACCTGGCAACATAAAAGGATGAATAGTCACCACAACTACAACACGGAAAGTATACCATGAAAATGGTCATTGCAATGTTCCACAAAAGATACCTCAAATAAGAAGTCAACAGAGTTCATTTCTGGGTACTTCCACTTCAAAAGGCCATTGTGAGTCTTTGGCACATACGGATCATCCCATCCCTAACAAAAAATAACAAGATAACAAGCCTTAGTAAGTGTTATAAGCAATGCAATTGATGTTTATGCAATTGAGAAAGTTGAGTAAGAGGCGATTTTTTTCAACCAAAGATAAATCTTAGATTAACAAACAGAACCCTCCCCATATCTAGTTTTCCCTCACCAAGTACCTGGAAAATAAGTCCATCTGCTTCATGTGAAAGCTTAGGAATGAAGTCCCTTAAAAGCTTGGTGACTGTAGAAAGCAACCAGAAATCCTTCCTTCTAACCTGGTAAAATAACTTAAAATAAACTTCTGAAGCTCTACTAGTAGGCTAACATATGAATAGAAGTTGCAGTCCTAAACTGCATACCCTGAAGGGTTCCAACTCATATCGATAGGAGAATTCTCTGCTGTGGTAGGCATTATGACGTTCAGCATTTCGAGGTCCGAGCACTTCCTTCTCGATCATTTTCCATCGCTCACTGAAAGGCCGCTGCAGAAATTGCCAACCCAATTGACATTATATTACATGAAATACCGAGAGATAAGGTCCTCCAAACTAGCTCTCACCTCTACAACGGAGACATGATTGATTGCCATCAAATCATAGATGAGGTATCTTCTCTCCTGCTTCTGCGTGTCGGGCAAGGTATCGATAACCATCTCACCATCAAGTAAGGTAAAATGATGTGTCTTATCATACGAAACCTTAGAAAGGGAGAAAATAGACCATCTCAGAAATCAACCATGCAAGCAACGTGATGGATAGGAGTCTCAGCGCACAAGAACAATTGAGAAGTTAAGTTGCAAGATACATACATCACTTCCACCCTTGCAAGGAAACCTCATCTGAACCCTTCGAAAATTAAAACTCCGATCAACCAAATAACACCCATCCATTGTGATTAACATCATATAACGTGTCCCATCAGCTTTCCATGTTGCATAATAGTAACGCTGCCTTAATAGCTGTAAATTTTCTCTGCAAAACAAAATAGAAATGATTTAAGGCTGAATGAAATTTTCACACTGGAGCAAGCTAGAAGCAACTTTGCCACAAAATTTAACATTAGCAGAATAAAAATTCAGCATGAGCTACTACTCAAATTAGTACTTCTACAGCTTAATCTGACCCACTGTTACCACAACAGAAAATGGATGGCCGAAGAAGACATCTACACTTTTAAATTTAGACGCAATATGACTTTAACACAAAATCATGACGGCTATATTGCAATTTCCTTCTAGAACACCAATTGCAAAGAAAAGAAAATTCATGAAACCATTGCCTAATGAAATTTAAATATCCAACAGTCTAGATCAGACCTGTTCAAAGATACTGGGTGTGAACCAGGAAATTGTGGGGGTCCTCTTCCCTGGGATCAAATGAAAACTAGTTAGTACCACTTTCTTAAAAAAGAAATAGACATGAAAAGAGCATGCAATAGACCAAGCCAGTGCACTAGGCACTTGCATCTGCATCTTCAAATGGCCGCTGCATGATATATACCCAAGAGAAGCAACCCCAAAGGTAATTATTCACAACAAAGAAGCATAAGATGAGGACAGTGACACTAACTGGCATAGTCATCTTTAACATTTGATAGCAGGTATGCCGCAGTGCATTGAGCTGGTCAAAAGGTATATCATCCCCCAAGACATCATCATTTGTCAACTTGGCTTCAATTTCTTGATTGCTCTGAAATCAAAAGGTGAAGGACACCAGTTCACATGGGTGTAAACTAAGCTTCCTTGTCAGAAATTTTAGAGCAGTAAAAGAAGTGATTATGAGCAAATTATACATACATGCAAAGGAGCAACTGAATTGTCATCATCATCATCATCAGGTACTGCTTCACCATTAAGATCGAATTCAGAAGATCTCTTCCATTCTGGGATTGGTGGGCAGAACATATCATCTGGCCTCTTCTCATGATAGAAAGCATATAGAGCATCAATATACTCTGGTTTGTAGATTCCAGGAGGACGTGCTTTGGCAAAACTCATTATTGCCTGCACTTGTAGCTGACAAAATTAAGTCTGAACAAAAACACATGTAGGGGAGGTACTAGCCAAATCTAAAGCCAAAACAAACCTGAGTGACAGACATCGATTGTGTACGCATTAGGAAATGTACAATCATATACCCTGTGCGATTGTGTCCATGTGTGCAATGAACAAGAATATACTTCTTTGAAAGTTTCTGCTGCGAGAGGAACTGCATGACCTGAAAGAAAGGTAAGCACACATCAACCCAAAACAAGAATGGACTTAAGTCGAGGCACAGAAGGACATTCAAGGGTCGGCAGAGAGAACTTAGCATGGACAACGGAGTATAAATATACCCACAGTTCAATAACCATTAAGCATGAATTCCAGTTCTCTGAAGATATCTTTTTTGTAATTAAGCTCTATATCCTACCAATTTTAAGCATAATCTCGTAACACAATATATACATTAGCAAAAGCTAAAAATTCAAAACTCAAGTATCAACCAGCTGTTGGTCCATATTCATAGAAAGAACAGACTCATAAAGGCAAACAGAGAAGAGGCAACACAAAATATATAGAAGCATACCTCATAGACAAATTGATTTACAGCCACATTCTCAGGTACAGCATCCCGGCCTCGGCATTGAATCTAGCAAATAACTAGAGTCAGTTATGAGTGAATAATAAACAAGTACTACATAATATAGCCACAATAACCATAACGTTGCAGACGACCATGCACCTTAATATGCTTGATGCCGTCCTTTTTAAGCTCATTGGTTGAGTAGTAACGAGTCGTATTTGTCAAATCAATCACCAAACCAAGCTGCAAAGCAGTAACGCGTTTAGCAAATGAATGAATCAAAACATTGTTCGGCACAAGATACCCCTTTTTCAATTTAAAGAAATCTACACTGATGTCTATAATCCCACAATACAGAAATGGACACTGAATTACTCTCCAGACCTGAATCTTTCCATAATCTGACAAATTTAAAGATCCAACCAAATCTTCATAACATATTCTTTCCCAATCATTGGACAAGAGCCACTAAGGTCCAAACAGAAATACCCTCACAAGATATATATGACATAAATGTTCAGACCGAGCATACACGAGAAAGAATAAAAGAAACATAAACATCGCTCATTTGTATGACTGCTTCAGGAACTTCCTCCGCTCTTTACTCTTCAAGTAAGAAAAGCAAACAGGAGAATGAACTAATTTGTACGCTGAAGCCACCAACATTTCACAATATCATGAAGACCAAGCATAAATTAATGGGGAAAAGGCTGCCTAATAACTAAAAGTTCCAAAGTCAACCCAAATTCTTACTTTTCTTCCTGAAACTCTTTGTTGATGAATTACTTGCTTGAAAGAATATCTTTTACCAGCTGGAATGTGTTCATAGTACATTTCACCGAGTGGAACCTTAGATGGAACCATTCCACATATGTCTTGACCAGAAGGAGTGCACTCCACCCATCCTGAAATGAGCAAGCCCACATATAAAACTGTAATAAGGAAACAAGCATTCACCTCACAACTGACCTCACATAACCAGTACTTGGAGATCTAAGAAAAACTTTAAAATTAAAGCTTGACCTTACATCAATTGGAAACCTCTATGCAGCAATTGATTCTTATGTCATGTAAAAATTAGATCTTCGGTACATTTTGTAGCAATAAATTGCAATCGCAATGAAATGAGGCCATCAACAACAGCTACTCAACAGCATAAAATGCAGTTCAAAGATGGTTAACATGTGTTTATTTGATACTGAAACATGGAGCAATCATATCAAGGAGGAAAAGAAACCCACCAGGAGGGAGTTTGCTTTTATCATACGCCTTTTGGGGTTTGGATTGATAAATTTGATTATCCCCTAGCTGCCGAGACGCATAAGAGTGCACGTCATCCCCGCGATCTGTTTTCCTACGCTTTATCCTTTCTTCCCGCTCCTATATGACACATACACAATATCAGCATGAAGAGAATGAAATATCTAACATTTTTGTCTTTAAGCAAACAACAATATTACAAACATTCACTGCAAAGCACCAGGTACCCTGTTTCATTTACTTCATCATCAACGTCTTGCTGACGAATTTAATCTTCATAAAATTTACTCATTCAGAAAACACAAACATGTTCCCACAAATGGTGTGCCAAACCTTGGGCAGAAGAATGTTCTCATTACTTAATTCACATAGTTCACCGCATCATAGCAATCCAAAAAGAGTATCAAAGCTCTCCTTATATATCTAGACTAAAGGAAACCCCTAGGCCCCGATGTTTCAACGATCATTATTTTACAGGATGAGAAGTCATTTGAGATTCAGCAACATATGGATATGATAGCACCCCAGCACATAAGGAACTTTTAATCACATAGACTATACTAAAGTGCAAAATGCTGGCACATGGAATGGAAAGCCCAAATTTAGTGGTACCCGGCGTGCAAGTTCAGCGCCACTCTCAATGCGTTCGTCAGGAGCAATGTATTGTTCAACGTGATTTTCGAAATTATCCTCCTCGTCTTCAGGCAGGGGTGAAGCATTTAGGTCCATGGCAACAACCATTCACCAGTAACCACACAACATTTTCCGAACATCAAAATGTCGTGCACGGAAAACTCATCACCTACACCAACAATAAACAAATAGACACAGGTGGAGAAAAAGTCAAAGAATTTTATAAGCAGAGCCTCTAAGAAGCTCTAATATCACGCCACGATGGCTTTCCTCGAGCTAATGAGGTTTGCCGGAGTTGAAGAACGTTGAAAAATGCCGGAGAGCTACGAAGAAGGAAAATGCTCTACGTAACTCAGTTCAACAAGTCTCTATTTGTTTCATCTATCAACTTGCCACTGAAAGCATATTTCCCGTACAGTGAACAGCATGCCCAAACGGGGGGAAACTTAAGCAGGAATTTCCGTACTCTCGGAAGCGCTCAAAATCGGCAGAAAGTGCGCGGCAAAGATTTCGACAACCGGGAAAAATATAAGAGAACGGCCGCCATTACCGTTGAATTGACCGCAATTCCCCGCTGAGGAAGCAGGAGCAGAGGAAGCGGCGGAGCAGAAACGCGATCAGAGTGGAGAAGAAGGCCGCTACACTTTACTTTTGGCTGTTGCACTCTTGCTTGAGCTTCGGAAGAGAACCCTAGCGTATGAAGGAGGAGAGGAGATTAGCCAGCTCGCTCCCGGTCCCGTGTTTTCCTTCCACTGAGCCTGAGAGTGGAAACCCTAGAGAGAGAAAAGGAAGAGAATACGATGATGAAGAAGCTGCTGCTGGGTCGCGAGGTTTGTTGGTGTTGGAAGGGAAGCGAGGGAGAGAGGTAAAAAATGGTTGTTTTTATTTTAATCATCAATCCATGTCAGGACGATAGAGAACATATGAAAGAGTATAGGGTAAGGCTCTCAAAAAGAGTTTATACTAGTTTGGCAAGTGATATATATTTATAATTAGGGTTAATATCTTATTTTGATTCTAATTATACACAAATTTTCTACTTTGGTCCGTAGTATTCGAAATTGTTCTCATGCTTCGAACTATGTACCATACTTCCTTACTTGGTCCGGAGTCGGGTTTGAACGTAAAATTGGACGATCAACTCGTTAGTCAATGGCCAGCTCACTTGCCATGTCAGAGAACACGTAATTAAAAATTTTATTTTTTGAATTTATGTATTCATTTTCCTTTCTAATAATAAACTTAATAATTTTTTTTGAATTTATGTACTCCATTTAATTTATTATTATTAAGTTTATAATTAGAAAGGAAAATGAACACATAATTTCAAAAAAAATTATTCCATGTTCGCTCATGTGGCAAGTGAGATGGTCATTGACTATTGGTCAAACCTGGCTCCGAGCCAAATAAGAAAGTATAGTACATAGTTTGGCCCAGGAGAGTAATTTCGGATACCACGGAACAAAGTAAAAAGTTTGTGTATAGTTCGAACCAAAATAAGGTATTGACCCTTATATTTAAATAAAACACAACATTTCAAACAAAATGAAAAATATTCATATTTAAATACATTTATTGCCAACATTCAAAAGTTCATATTTGAAGCCGACAAATAACTTCAACATCTAAACATTCATACTTGAATCAAACAAATAGCATCAACATTTAACTTTCAAATACAAAGAAGTTGAATTTTGTTTTTGTTAATTAATTTCACCAAAAGGTCGTCATTATGTTTAAAAGGTAGAAGTCGACCATACCGAGAGCATTTCAACCGGTTTTATAATAAGTATCCTGGTTCTACCGGTCGGCATGCCACTGGCATGACAATCATGGTAGAGAGAGAGAACACTCGAGACGAGACGATAAATATTACGGATCATGATGAGTGGTGGGAAATGGTGCAGATTGGGCTAATCGCACCAATAATATGGTTAATCGCAACTGAATAAGTAGAAATTCATCAATCGTGACTGCATCACTAACTGCAAGTCGCAGTTAGCGGTTAGTTCAGGTTAATTGCACAGTCGCCATATTGATGAATATGGCTTAGAAGTGGAAAAACAACTTCTCACTTCACAGATGAATACGATGAGTCAAGGAGGAGGATGGAGCTGGTGCATACTCTGCTCGACAGACGAAGAAACAACGACAAGGTCGCTGCTCATGCTCTTCTATGCTGGAAGAAGTTCGTCAACTCGTTGTCACTCCTCATTGGCAGGAATAAGATTGTCGTGCTCCAGTCCAATCTCCAGGTTCGACATTCTAGTCTTTAGGTCAAAGGCCAGCAAGTCTCCACTAAGAGTTCAACGTAGTAACTAGAACTTTGGAAGTCTGGAAGTGGACTAGAACCCTAAGGACTAAGATATTGTTTCATCAATTGGGATTTGGATTTTGGGAAGACCATTTCGTAAGGAATGGAAACAAAATTTTCGTTTGGATTTGGAGCATTAAAAGCTTGAATGGATTATGACCTCGTGATTTATGGGTGGACTGGATGCTAGCGCGAGGTCGGTTGAGCAGATAATTAGACTTGAAGTTGGCCCATGGTTAGTTATTCGATTAGTTATCTATTCGGTGTGGTTTGCGGTTAGACACTAACCATAAATGACCAATTTTGATAATAGTGACTGAAAAATCACAATTGTTTTTTCGACCCCTAAGAAGATTTTGGATTTAGAAACTAGGGAATTTTAATTATTGTATAGCAAAAAGTCATCATATTTGGCTCCGATTGGTGAGGATTCATCGTCGATTTCTGCTGTGTGGTAAGGCTTCATCATCAACTTCTACTCCTGTTACATAGGCAAAGTTATCGTATGATGTTTCATCCCCCTAAGCTTCAGGTTGGATTCAGAGTACCTCGTGAGGTTGACAAGGGAGACTTGATAGTGAAGTTCATTAAACCCCCTTTTGAAGGTGGTTTGGCTTCAACTGTGTGTGAATTCTCTTTGGAGGTGAGACAGAATGGTAAGGGCCTTTCACGATTGTACCCATTGTCTCTCTCTTCTCACTCAACATGACTCTCCCCTCCTTTTCTTCTCGGACCACCAAAAATCATTATTACATCATCATCTCCCTCTGTCCATCATCGATGACAAACATCACCGCCAGTTGTCGCCTACCCGTCCCCTCGCACAACTACCGCCGACAAGGGTTGTTGCTCCATCCCTCTCCTCCCTCAAACTCCGACCACCCTCTTCCCTTCTCCATTCCTTTCATTTTACTTCTGTTGTGAGGTAAGAATTCTAGGTTATTTACCTTCCCTTCCCATTCTATGATGGTTAGGAAAAGTATTTGAGCTTCATTTTTGGAATTAGGAGTCAAAATTGAGAATATTGGGATTTCTAAGGTTTAGAACTAGGCAAATTTGTGATTCGACTATTTCCTCCAAATTGAACCTCTATTCTTCCAAATGGTGATGGTTTCATGAATGTTCAATGATTATATACTTGTTTCCATGACCAATTTGTGCTTAATTATCCTTTTCCTCTAGGAGAATTAGGGTTCTTGAATTCTGGAAAACTGGGAATTTCACCAAATTTCATGCATAGACTTGTAATTCTTCCAATTAATCATGGTGTGATGCTTTACAAATGCTAATAAATCTATTGATATGCTAAATTCATGCTTAATTTCCCTCTTTTTTGTTGGATTGGGATTTGGGAGAATTAGGGTTCTTCATTTCTTCTCTACCCTTTTCCATGACCAATTTGCACTTTTCTTCAAATGTTTGCTTTTTTGGTCAGGGATGTTAGTTGATTCTTGTATGGGTGTCTGTTAAGGGGTGTTTGTGCTTATCATTTTATAATTCATGCCTTATTGCTCCATGACAACGAGACAATATCTGTAGTGGGTTTTCTTGTGACCTAGTTGAATGCTTGCTTTGTGTATGTGGTATGTGTTGTTTTTTGTGGTTGCAAGAACATGGCACCTAAGCCAAATAAGGCCAAGATTTCTACTCCCAGTCAACATCCTCCAGAGCAGAGTCCTCATCTTGAGCCCTTATCTGATCCATCTTATTACCACTTCACTGAGCAAGCTCATGAAACTCGGTTTGTGCTTCTCAATGTAAAGAGTATGAACGAGGAGCAAGGAATTAATTGAGATGTCCTAGGGACGTTGGGAAAGCCAAGAATATAATAGATCTCATGAAGGTGGGTGTCTGTTCTGCTTTTTTCACTATCTAAGAGATTTCTTACTACGAGATGACCACCAAGTTCCTCTTCACCCTCAAGTGGATCAAGAACCTGACCAGTATGAAGAGGCTATTGCTATCTCCTTCATTTTGATGAATCATAATATCAAAATAGGTGTTACCGATCTTCCTTATCTTAGGTGCTTTCATGTCATTTTGAGCATTTGAACCCAAGATGTAGTCTAGTTTTACTTCCTAGCATTCACATATGCGTTATTAGGTGACAATGTATGCGTTCAACGCATTTGACGAAGAATGGAGGACTAAAGAGAATGAATGAGGGCAACTGCGAGATCGTGTTCATAAGGAACATGTCACGATTGAGACATGTCAGCCTCGAACCAATTCATGCAACATGTACAAGAGCATGGTCAGGATCTCAGATCCCCAAGCTGTGAAATTTGAGAGGCTATGCACGAAGAAAAGCTGAAGGTTTCATGCTCTTATACATGGTCCTTCAGTCCCGAGAGCACGAGGGAGATCGTGGCCCTATATCCCAGTTTTCAGTCATGAACTCGAGCTCGTGAACACTCATCCGGAATAGCTCAAAGTAGCATCGCTCTACGATCGCGCCATGAACTCCCCCGAGGCAGGTCGTGATTTCACGCATGCTCATATTCATTATAAATAGAGGAGTCTTCTAGAGTTGAGAAAAGACTATTTGAAGCTTAAAACCCTAGAAAGATAGCAGAGAGATAATGAGCATCTTGGAAAAGAAGTAGATCTTGAAGACAAGAATAAAAGAGCTTGAAGAAAGGATTTCCAACCCCGCTCATTTGTGTTATCTAGAGAGGCATATCTAACAACGGACAAAGGCAATTGAGGTTCTAACCGGTAATTCTCACTATTGGGTTTCTCTAGATTAATTGCCTCCATATCTCTACCGCTGAGAATACTAGACTAGGTTTGA